CTACTCAATTACGATATACCTTGGCACCTGTGTGATTCATCTGCCTCACCTATTCACCTGCTTAGTTACCATTTACATCCAACCTCTGTGTGTTTCACCTGCCACACCTATTACACTTAATTAATTATGATTCACCTTGTCACATGGGCAACTTTGGAATCGTGGCACGACAGAGAGTTTTATTCAATATTCAATATGAGGAATCAATCAAAACAAGATCCTGCCATGGTGATTTGATCTCCTGTCCTCTGGCTCATAACTTCAAATTAATCCATTTCCTATCATTTTCACAATTCTGAGGACTTTTCTGATGAAAAAAAAAACCACAAGTGGCTGGTGCTAGCCAAAGGGGTGGTAGTTTTATGATTAAACTCCGAATAAGCGGGTCTCATCTCCCGAAGCTCGGGTCCTTTTGATGAGTAATACCTGAGGTGAACTCATCCTGAGGTTAGGATTAAATGACTTTGGTGACAGTGATATTCCTGGTTAGGTCACTGCCTCGAGCATGGACTCTATAGAACTTATTTGATATTTTCGTGATGTGTTCTCTAATATATGGAATGCCATGACACATCTCGTGGAGATCTGCCACCCGAGAATACCGATTACCATTGATATAGAACTTATTTGATATTTTCGTGATGTGTTCTCTAATATATGGAATGCCATGACACATCTCGTGGAGATCTGCCACCCGAGAATACCGATTACCATTGATAATGATACTGTGAACTTCGTTCTGCAGTACCTGTAACCAACCTGTTTGGGAAGTCAAGGCACTGCAGAACACTGGATAGGCGTATGCCATTACAGGCCTCATTATTCATTTGTAGAACAAGTGTACCAGACCAAGAGGACGGGGATACAACATCCCTAGAGGAGAGCAGTGAGAGGGCGATTCACAAGAAATCAATGACATGGAGATTGGGCCAAGCGGGACCTGGACGACTGGGCTCGCGACGGTGTGGCTGAGCTGCTGAGCAGTGAACGCGGAGCAATTGACGAGACACGACGACAGTTTTGTATAAATTTGTTCTTTTTCTATTTTGTTTACGTTCAATGAATAGAATTCCTTACTGAAATGTCTCATTCTTAACAAGTCAGAAGTGAGATATTGCTCAGTGCCTTAGTGGTGATGTGACGAAAGTATCAATTTTGGTGATATTCCTATGTTGTGGGCTGTAGCAAAAGAGACTACAGTGAGTGGCGTTAGTTCGGCGATTTTGCTACAAAACGAATAGCCAGGCGAGCTTATTCATTCATTGTAGCACATTGACGGCGTTTCGGAAACTGTAAGCACACGATTCATTTTATTTCGCACGAAAACTCAGTTCGAGGCAGAGCGATAGACAAACTCGTGCTGATGAATCAGAGCTTTGGTATTCTCCGCTGTACGATACCGAAATTTGATTGCATAACATCGATGGTTCGATTGAATATCAGCTATTGGTGAATATACTAGACGATTATTATTTCAGTCATCGAATGATAATTTGTGTTTTGATGAGTTTAGAATCACTTGATTGCATGAAGTTTGTTTTCACGACATTTCCACACGAGAGTGAAATCAATCCGGAATCATTTCGATCAATCGCAATTTACTGAACGTTTTATATCGTTTAGATAGTTTCAGTGGTGTTCAAAGAATATTGTTACTGATATTTTGGTGATACCTGGTGGTCAAATAAAATAGTACTTTTGGTTATTTGTTTATCACTGGCGATATATCAAGCGTTATATTAGTGTTTTGGTTGATAATCTCGATCCGTACGATTTATTCGTTGGATAACATTATTGCTCAAGACTCATTTCACGTAGTTAAATAAATTTCAATATTTTGGACACATCAGTGGCGTGTACCACAGAGAATAACGGGGTATTGAGCGGTGATCAGTTTCTATCATGCTGATGATAGTGAATGTCTATTCTCATCAGAAACACTATCAGACAATTAATCTATTTTTGGTTACAGATCATGGCGAAATCAGGCAAAGACCACTTGCTGATAACTGAGGATATCGATTTGGTTTCCCATAAATCACCTGTGGGAGGAAGAAATCGGAATGACTCTAACTCTCCACGGCGAAGTAGAACAGCCCCTTCTGACACTTCGGTTGGAGAAATTGTGAGGCAACTTCTGACAGGCCTCATGGAGAACATCCAGAAAATTGCTAAGCAGCAGGTGGCATTAGCAACCGGAAAAGCTTCGGATTTACTGCGACCCGGACCATCAGCCTCAAGGACAGGCGGGATCGTCGAGAAGGATCAAGAAGGTAGTGGTAAGCGACTATTGCTTCTTGTCTCTGAAGTTATTGATCGGTTCGATCCCGATAATGCCGATAATAATATTGAAAGGTGGTTCCAAAGAACTGACCAGCTAGGCAGAGTTCATAGTTGGTCAGACTATGAAATGTCTACATTGGCACAGACGAAGCTAGAAGGTGCAGCGAAGAGGTGTTTCAATCAACTGGACGACAACAACTTGACTTGGGACCAATGGAAGGAGACATTGAGAGCAGCGTTCCCAAGGCGCAGAGAATTCGCTGTCATGTTAGAGGAGTTGGTACAAAGACATCAACTGAAACCATGACCACTTATTTTCATGCAAAACTAGTGTTGTGCAGCAGGGTACACATCAAGGGCGAGGAGACAGTTTCTTGCATCATAAGGGGCCTTCCAGATAGTCTAAGAGCCAACGCACCCCAGGTAGCACAGGTTAGTGAAATGACGTCATAATGACGTATTTTTTAGGTCATTATTGGTCAATGACGTCCTCGACTTCAGAGGGACCAAAAAATGACGTCATATTTCATGACGTCTTATTGACGTTCAATATTGGACGTCTTAATGACGTCCCTACAAAGTTGTATATTCGACCAAATAAGAAAAAACAGTCGCTTTCTTAACTTTTCATCGTTTGTTAATTGTAAGTACTAAATTTGTGTTTGTATATACAGTGTTTTCGTAAGTACTGATGAACAAATTTATTTTTAGCCAAATTATGCATTTTTGAGGAATCATCTGAAAACGGTCGATTTTCATTTTCAATTTGCCATATTTATGAGAAAAATAGAATATACATACATGGTGATCCACGTTTGAGTTATGACCATCCCGACATTTTTTCTTAATAGAGCACCCTATATATATCACTCAATCATTGGAATAACCATATGGGAAGCGGAAATCTAAAATGTTTAACACAATCATGTGGATTGTATAGGGAAGCCCAGTCAGCACATCCTTTCGTCGTCAACCTCGAAAGATGTCGAACAGCACTTTATCAAGACTCCTTCATCCATAGAACGGCTAGGCTCTGGAATTCATTGCTTGTGGAAGTATTCCCAACAACATATAATCTCCAAAAATTCAAAAAAATTTCAATACCTACCTCCTGTCCCTATCCTCCATAGGAACGCACGATGTTCTTTGAACATTATAGGGATTCCCATTCGTGCGCTCCAATCGATAAAAAAAAAGTGCGTCCAATAAATTAGAAGCTCTCGTGAAGTAGTGGATAAATTCATTTATTATCCAATATCTATCTACCTTACATATTTCTGAGAAAACAGGAGAGGCTTTTATTTCTAATTTGACACATTTATAACGAGAAATCATCAAATATACAGGATGATGCACGTTTGTATCATGACGTACACGACACATTTTTCAAACGGATATATATATTATTGAGTTTTCGTAATCAAATGTATATGACACAAAGGGTTTGTATACAGGGCGTTCGTTAAATTCAGTTCTCTCGTAAAATTTGATCGCCATTAAAAAATAAAGATGACGTAATTTCTCCTACACGAATCATTCTGTATATATTGATTTAATATGAGATAAAGCTCGAATGAAAATAAAATTCTACGGCTTCGAACGTTATTCTCTCAAAAAAAAAAATATTTTTTCAATTCTCAACGAATTTATTCGCAACTTCACAAAAGAACTTTATGCAACGAACGCACTGTATAAAAACTCATATATTTTTGAATCCAGCTTTCCATAGAGACTCCAAAAATCGAATAATTCATATAGGGTGTTCCTTTGAAAAAATGGTCGCGGACGTTGTAACTGAAACTTGAATCACCCTGTATGTTCAATTTTTTCTGAATAATGTTGGTAATTTAAAATAAACTATTTTTGGAGATTCCTCAGAAATGAATTGTATGGTATAAGTACATTGATTGGCTACTCTATTTACTTCACGCGAGATCACTCAATTTAACGGACACACTGTATACAAACCCTGTGTGTAATATATTTTTAAATTCAGATTTACATGAATATTTCAAAAATTGAATGTATCTTATATAGGTCATTATTGTTTCTAATTGAAAAAATTGCCGCGGACGTCTTAACTTAAACGTGGATCACCCTGTATATATATGGTTCTTACTTTCAAATGTGGCAAATCGGAAATAAAATCGACCTGTTGCAGAGGATTTCTCAGAAATGGATAGATTAGCTAAAAATGAGTTTATTCAGCTTACATCTCGCCGACGCTCGCTACATAATTTTAGGTACAAATACGAGTTGCTAACGATATTGTCATATAGATTCATAGGTAGTAGTGATAGCGCTAGGATTCAACAGGACTGCCCGGGAGGACCATCAACCAAGTGACCACAACGTATATAGTTACAAAATGAATGTCATCAAAGGTTTGTGGTGTAATTATGTACCAATAATGCCGTATATACATAAACCATTATGACGTCTAAATATGACGTCATATGGCTGTGACATTTTGACGTCATTATAGGGTCTCTCAGACGTCATTTTTGGACGTCCACTTCGTCATTTTATGACCAAAAAATTACGTCAATTGGACGTCACTCTGCTACCTGGGACACGCAACCAACTGTTCTACACCAGAGGCCTTGTAAAAGTCATTCCTTGTGGGACTGGAGGGTTATCATGGCGAGGCATACAGAATCAGAAACACTGCGTCAAGGGGTGCGTTTCCTTCTGCGTCAAGGGGTGTGGTTCCTTCCATGGCAGGTGGTTCCCGGCGAGACGAAGCCGTAGCTAAGAGGAGGTGCTTCAACTGTCAGATGATTACAAATCATTTGAGTAGGGACTGCCCTCTACCTAGAGCGGAGCGATGTATTGGATGTGGAGTAGGAGGACATCGATTAGCAGAGTGCCCTAGGCAACAAAATACTGGAGCGACGTGCATGAAACAAGACATCAGGTGAGAATCTTAACAAATCCTTCGAACAGTTGTTTCCCACGTATGGTTAGGGTAAACGGTGAGAATGTGAAAGCATATTTAGATACTGGCAGCGAGCAAAATCTGATGTCTCTGGCAACAGCACGGCGTTTAGGACTCACTATCACTGCAGATGATGAAGGAAAAATATTATGATGGTTTTGGGAGACTGTCATCTGGAGGTCAAGTCATTAGTCATGGACTGTAACTTGGGATCCATCGAACTACTCTTGGGTCAACCATCTATGAATGGCCATGGTGTGACTATGGTGATGAGAAACAATAACGCATATCTTTGTAAGGAACCCGATATTAACGAGTTGATCAGAATGGTCACTCTCGATGGCGAATTTCCTAGGTGTAAAGTGTTATTGGCAGACGACACTATACTACCACCTAATATGACAAGTAAAGTTGAAGTTGAAATCATCAACGGCATAGAAGGGGCGAAGTATTATATGCAGAAAGTGTTATTGGCAGACGACACTATACTACCACCTAATATGACAAGTAAGTTGAAGTTGAAATCATCAACGGCATAGTATATGCAGAATAAGCAATTTCCTGATGGCCAGTCAACTATTATCATACCGGTCGGATTGTTGAGCGGGCGGCAAGAGAGCATCAAGGTCATCAACGCTGGTGACAGGCAGAAGGGGCGACTAGTAGGATGCGTGGAAACCTGCTTGTCAAGCGAGAATGTAGAGAAGGCGACCCACTCGTCCAAAAATCAAGTAAGACAATTATCTATGAGTAGCTGAGACCTATATGAAGTGAATGTTGGCCGTATTTCTGAAGAATGGATGGGACAGTTATTTGAGTTGTTGAGGCGTTACACGGTATGTTTTTCAACGGGAAAAGATGATCTTGGATTGACTAACTTATGAAGTTGACCACTGATGTACTCATTCAGTATAGGCATTACAGGTTATCTTAAGGAGAGGGAGGTGGTGAGAGAGAAGGTACAGAATCTCATGGATGCTGGAGTAATACGAGAGAGCTGATCAGAGTATGCTAGTCCTGTTGTCTTGGTTCCGAAAAAGAATGGTGAGGTAAGGCTGTGCGTGGATTATAGGGCGTTGAACGCTATCACGGTGGAGGACAAGTATCCACTTCCATTGATCTCAGATCAACTTACTAAATTGGCGAATACTAATTGCTTTACTACATTAGATTTGACTCAAGGCTTTCATCAGGTTCGTATGCATTCAGATTCTGTGAGTAAAACAGCGTTTATCACACCCGATGGACACTACGAGTATCTGCGTGTTCCCTTTAGTCTTTCAAATTCGCCGGCAGTTTTTCAGCACATCATCAACAAGATGTTGGGTCCATTGAGACATGGCGAGGTATTGGCGTACATCGATGACTTGCTGATTCCCTCGGCAGGCGAAGAGGAGGGTTTGAAATGATTAGAGTTGGTGTTGAATCTAATGAAACAGGCAGGTCTGAAGATAAACTTGGCGAAATGTTCTTTTTCACAGAGACACATTGTTCTGTTCTATAATGAAGTTACTATAATTCGAGAAAAAGTTCGAACAGAATTCGGCAACGTAGCATTTTTACACACCTGAGAAAAATCAGAAGTCAGTAGAGTACATGGGTAGTACCTACACATCGGTGTGGTATAGTTCGGTCGATGAAATGAACTTTTCCAAAAACTAAACGACAGATTGCTGGGTTTCGGCCAGCTGGTACTTTTCGAGCAAATTGATAGTGTAATCTGAATAAAATTATACCTC